TTCACTTGAGCCCAGATGAGCTCTATTGGGTTCAGTTCACAGTGGTAGGGCGGTAACCGCAGCACAGTGACACCACATTGACGGGCCATCTCATCAGTCACGTAAACTAATGTTCGCAGGTTTGTGCTGTTTAATTTTTTCATATAATTCCGCTTTCACACATGAATCGTCAAACGGGATTCCTTTTTCGCGCAACCATTGTTGCATGTCACTTTTTCGAGATCCCATAGTCAGTACACGTTCGGATCGACGACTATGGTAGGAAGCATTATCCATGATGATCACAGAGTTGGGCTCAACTCGCTGAAGCACCCCTTGAAACCAGCTCTCGAAGCAGCTGGCATTCATTTCGCCATGGTAATCACCTCCTTTCTTAGAGACGAAAATCAAGTCACACTCTTCTAAAAAGCCACTATCGCTACCAATATGAATTACGATCAATCTTTGACCTTTCCCTGACGGTCTACGAAGACCTGTTGACAAACCTTCAATGCTTGCTTGTCGGTTACTCACTACGTTTTTGTCTATCCAGGTTTTTTTAACTGTGTGACCTGCATTTACCCATGTCTCGTCCAAATAATAGATTTTTCTGCTTTGTCGCCTATATTCAATCATTTCGCGTAGGTATTTTCGACGCCAGGTGACTATTTCAGGTCTCTCTATCAATACTGACTTCCGATTACGCGTTTCGTAACGAAAATTAATTTCGTGCAGGGATTTCCTCATTACCTCGACGCCTATTTGGGGTATAATTTCATTTTCCTTGATCGCTGCATATACAGCCTTGAGGGTTGGTATCTCATTCCTAAAGAAGGATGAATGTACGGTTTGCCTTAACGCCATTTTGCTATCGTCATCCAATTTAACGGCCTTTCGTCCCTTCAAATTAAACTTTGGATCAGTAGTAGCTCCAGTTTTCTTCTTTTCATGCACCACCCTGCGAATGGTCCACTCTGGAACGCCTGTCATACTTTCACAACGCGCGAGTGCATCTCCCTGCGACATAGTTCTGTTCAGATAATTGAACACGTTGAGCACGATTTCTTTCGCGTCCCTCTTCAGTGCTTTACGAAGCTGTCTACTTGTTCCCTGGCTTTCAGTACTTTCACTCGTACCATTTGTACTCTCCATGGTTAAGTATAACCAAAACAGTAACCACAGAAACCACAACAATAACAATCACACATCAATTCTTATAAAAACACACAATATGCGATCGCTCAACGAAACACGTTCCAATGCGTTGCCGACGCCTATGAGTCTGCCGGTCGAGGCGCGTCTTTGATTTCATTGGTTCTACCGGCGGAGAACAACCAGCCATTATTTCCATCTCTGTCTGTGTTGTTGACCACCGCAAAGCCACAGAAACGACATCTGTCGTACGCTATATGGCTGTACTGGAAGGAAGCCGGAATCGAGCTCTGATCACGCGTATGAGTCAGTACAGTTTTAAATAGTTGTAGTACTATCTATGAGTCACTAAGCTTTTCCAAGTAGATTTATAGTTAGTCTGGGAATAGAGTATTAGGTTTGATACCTTCAGGTATAATACGTTAATCAACAGCTACACTTTCTTGTACAGATTCAGGACCTCAGTCTTGAGAAGGAATTCATTTTGATGCCATGCCCAAACGCGGTAGTAGAACTGTTCTCAGTGAACAGAAATCAATTAGATACAGCAAAAGGACACGTTGGCCTGAAAGAAAACTAGCGCCAAACACGGGTGCATAATGGAGATCTCAAATAGAATGTGGCTGAGGAACAAAGCCGGCATTTCACCTCTTCTATGAGTGCTAAGCGCTAGCTCACAAGACAAGGCATTTCTTTGGTAAACACAGACCAGAAATCAATAGGGTCTCGGAGGTTACCGACAGAGAACTGTATCAATTAGCATAGAGTTCAACACTGCTAGATCAAGTCCTGAGTCATAAGAGGAGTGTTCTGCAATAAGCCTTAAAGGCTATTGTGTAATTTGGAATGGTTGGAACCAGCTTCCGCCGAAAGAATCACAGGTTCACGTTGAACCGCCAACCTGTGCATTTTCTGATTTGGACCTCTTGACCTACCAGTCTGCTTGATTCACGATTCACCATAACTAGGTTATTGGATGGTTCAGAGCTTCAAGGATCGTCTCCACGTACATGACAGCATTTAAGCAGAAACTTCATTAATCCCTAAAGTCCATATTTACAGTTAAGGCACGGTCCTGCGGGTTAATTTATCGTCCCTTAATCAAGTAGACCTATTTTCAGGCGTCTAGCGTCAGCTTCGTCAGCATCTTGAGGAAGCGTCGTGAAATATAACTTGTTATGAAACGGGCGTGTTTACCAAGTAATTAATGGTGTTCTTCGAGCATGACAGATGACATCGGAGATATTTAAGATTGCGGTGATTTATCCGTATGTGTCGCTGAAGAATCATTAACATTCAAACGCTCAGCTGAAAGACGTGGTTTCCTATAATATGAATGAAGAGTAGCTTTAGGCTGGGTCTTATAAACAGACAACTCTGTGGCTCTGTAAGTTTGCTCAGATAAGTTGCACTCGTGTCCGGACCTGCTATAAAGTTCTTAGTCCGTATGCAGTGGTCTCTGTTATGCTGTCATGTCTTACTTTCGAACATGGATTGAACGGTAGTAAATACAGGGTGGCGCATCGAAAACGAAACAGAAGCATTTACTGGCAGCTCAGTTTTTTTTTTGGAAAAACGCCCGGACCCGTCGATTTTGTTTTCGAGGGGGACACAAGTTTGGCAAAAAATCACGTTAGCACGTGCAGCCCCCTAAGCGGGGGTGACACCAAAATCTTGAATGGAAAGGGGGGTCGAGTGATACCTTATATTAAAGGTCTTTCAATTCCCTTTATAATGATATAAAATTAATGTACTTCAGTTCAGTAGTTTTGAAGATTTATTGATTCAAAGATTAAATAAAACTAATACATCATCATTAGTGGAGATCAATACATTTGGCAACAAAGTGATTTAAAAATGAAGAATGAACTGACCCATTAGGCCAGTAAATGTTGAAAATGGTCACCATGACTCTCCATGCAATAATAACTCACAATTTTTTGTCGCAGGTCTTCTAATGATGTTGGCTGAGTAGCATATATTTTGCTTTTTAAATGACCCCACATAAAGAAATCCAAAGGTGATAAATCTGGCGATCTTGGGGGCCATTCAATGGCACCTCTTCTACCAATCCATCGATCTGGAAACGTCTGATCTAAATATTGTCGAACACGTAATGCGTAATGTAGTGGGGCACCATCCTGTTGGAACATCAACCTATTCGCAATGTACCGCCGATCATTCTGATTTTCAATTATGGCTGTTAATGCAGGATCTATGACGTCTTCCAGTAACTCCAAATACATTTCACCGGTCAAATTTCCAGGTAAGAAAAAACGACCAACTAAATGATCGCCAAAAATACCAGCCCAAACATTTAATTTTTGTGGCTGCTGTGCATGAACCTCATGATAAATTCTGGGATTAGAATCGGACCAATATCGACAGTTATGACGAATTACTACGCTATTTAAGAAAAAGGAACATTCGTCGGGAAAGCAAGTGTTGAATAGAAAATGTTCATCGATGATAATTCGTTTACTCATATCTTCACAAAATTGTAATCGCCGATCAAAATCGTCTTCATTAAGTTCTTGTACCAGGTGAATTTTATACGGATGAAAACTATGGGCCTTTAGAATCAATTGGACAGTACGTCGGCTAACACCACACACAGTCTCCAATTTGCGGGTACGTAACGTAGGATCTACATAAACTTATCCTTATGGGATTTTCAATGTTGCGTTTTTTATTGGCTACTGACCCAGTTTCCCGAAATTTAGCTACAAGTTCTAGAACATATTCTCGGTGCACGTTACTGTTCTCATGTCGCTCATTAAATATTTCTGCTGTTTTATTAGCGCACTGATTATTTCCGAAAAATATTTCGATAATTTCAACTCTTCCTGCTGTGGAATATACCATGGTTAATTTATGTAATAAAGCGTTACAAGTTATTTTAGCAACAAAGTTTGGTCAAATCAATCGCAAACTATGTACTAAATTCCTATTTAAAATAAGTACGAGATATTTCCTTATCTTTCTTCAAGAAATAACAGTTTTGCCACAAAAAAAAAGCTCCAATAGCTATTTTCAACAACAAAATGATAAACAGACGAAATTTCTTCTAAAAGTAGTACAAACTAATCTGATGTACCTATTAACACGTTCAGTGCGAACAGCGTCAAAAGACGCCCTCCGCTCCTGTGGTGGAAGGCGAACGGCGTCTTTCGACGCTCTCTGCCGCCTTCCAAAAAAAGTATTTCAGTTTCTGAGGTGGGTATCCTCATCCCAGTTCGCAGTCAATGTGTTAAAGTCTACTTTAAGCTTTAAATCAATAAATCTTCAAAACTACTGAACTGAAGTACAGTAATTTTATATAATTATAAAGGGAATTGAAAGACCTTTAAAATAAGGTATCACTCGACCCCCCCTTTCCATTTAAGATGTTAGGGTTGGTGTCACCCCCGCCCAGGGGCCTGCACGGGTTAACGTGATTTTTTGCCAAACTTGTGTACCCCTCGAAAACAAAATCGACGGGTCTGAGCGTTTATCCAAAAAAAAACTGAGCTGCCAGAAAAAGCGTCTGTTTCGTTTTCGATGTGCTACCCTGTATAAGGGACTAACATCGCATTCACACACCGGAGCCTATGAAATGCTCAGCGCCAAGCGAAATCGCACGGCATTTCTTTGTTAGGCCTCGTCCTAACTGGCAGCAACCGTGCGAAGAGATTCGTACGAATAGTATTCGTACGAATTATCTTAGCATTCAATCAAGGAGGCTGGAACGGATGTGTCCTAATTAGAGGATTTTACCGTCCGGCGTCATCGCACGGATCGTCCGCACGAACGAGCTCAGTTTGATTCGGCATCGCATCGTGTTACTCGTACGGCCAGTCAAGTTCCAACCTGCGTTTTGCAAGTGTGGTGTCCTCATCAGAAATTTCGAATAAGCGACGAGTTGTGATCGTACGGGAGAAATCAAACAAGTTTGTTTTTCGTCATCCGAAGTTGGCTTAAATATTATGTCGTTCGAAGAGAATTTAATATTGGAGGTCCAGGCAAGGCCACTATTGTGGAATAAACAAAATGAACACTATAAAAATCGGAATAAGGCTCACGAGGAGTGGGAGAAGATAACAAGATCGTTGGGAAAACCCAGTGAGTGCATGATTTTTTATTTCAATTTCTTTACAATTTATGCACAGGTTTGAACTTATAGATTATTAAACTAAATCAGATACTAAATTATTAGAAAAATATGCACAGAACTGCGCTCTTGCAGCAATAGCAGCCCTGGAAGCTCGATTGTTGTCGCGAGATGGAGTCAAATTATAGTGGGTACTGTTAGAAGTAACATTACTTTCTGCATTGAGTTGTGGCGCGAGACCTTCCTTATCTATTATAACATTATGCAAACACAAATAGCTTTAACAATTGCGGTAGCATTGTTGACGGACGTCTCTATCGGCTTATTCAAAATTCGAAACTTGGCGGCAGCTATTCCAAAAGAGCATTCTACTGTTGCTCTAGAAGCAGATAATTTTTTATTGAATAAAGTTTTAACCTCGTCTCCATGTGATGTTCTTCGTGGAAATGGCCTCATGATAAAAGTGGTTAGCGGGAACGCTTCATCCGCCAAAAACACGTAGGGGGCGATTATGTTCGAATTTCTAATTCGTTCTTCTGAAGGTAACTTATATGTACCGTCTACGAATTTTTTGAAAAATATGGAGTTACTCAACACACCTCCGTCGCTGTGTTTTCCGTATGCCCCCACGTCGATGATTCGGAATTTATAATCTGAATCAGACACAGCCAGGAGCACAATTGAAAAAAACCTTTATAGTTGTAAAACATGCTTCCTGATTTCCGTGGCTTTTTCACACGGATATGCTTTCCGTCGATGCTCCCACAGCAATGCGGAAATTTCCCCTTTTCACTGTATGAGGCAGCAATAGCTTTGAAATCTTCTGTACTGGGAAACTTCATGTGCTTGTTGTGTAACTTCTTCCAAATGGCTTTACAAACTTCGATCACGATGTTTGCAACCGCTGTTCTTGAAATCCTGTATGTGAACGAAATTTTTCGAAAAGAAATTCCAGTCACCAGAAACCTGGAAGAAAGAACACGAAACAGATATATAAATGACTCTATGCTTTATTCACTTTATATAAAATTGATTATTATTAGTATTGTGGCTGCTTATAGGTTTTTTTACAGGAGAAGTGGTGAAGACCAAATGGAGAAATTTGAGGGATACTTTCCAAAAGGAACTGAAAAAAATTACTGTTCACCGTTCGGGTGATCCGGGTAGTCCAACTCTCACTAATTACACCGGGAAGTGGGTGTATTTCAACGATTTATGGTTCCTAAAAGACGTCATGAAACCTCGTGAAACTGAAGGCAACTGCCCTGAAGAGTCCCAAGAAAGTGAGGCGAACTCTGCAGAACAAGATATTCTACCAGAGGGGACGAGAAACGCACAAACGCCCTCCTCGCAAGAGCATGGTACCCCATTTTGCGAGTCAGCACCACAGTTTACAGAGACAAACGGTTACATAACGCAGCCTACGGATACAGTAGAAATTCGCCAACTATTTGAACAATCCAGTGGCACATCTTCATCCCAGACTTTACTGGCATCACCACCATCACAGTCAAGAGTTACAAATGTTGATACTATTCTCCGACGTAATGAAAAACAACCAAATAAGAAAAGGAAACCATCGCCATCGGCGGCCGTCATTACGGGCTTCCAGAGGCAAATTTTGGAGGTCGAAGAAAAGAAAATCGCAGCTTTCAAAGAGAGAAGTAGAATGGTTGATGATGAGGATATGCTATTTGCTAAGTCCTTGGTTCCTTATCTGAAAACTCTTCACCCTATTCAAAAGCTGAGATTGAAAAGTAAAATTCAAAACCTGATTGCTGATGAAATGGCAGCATCGCCTGTTTCTGATCATAACATCGTTCTTTCCTCACACCGCTTTTCAGAATTCCAAGTTTCATCCGACTGTATTCAGCCTCGGGATAACCTCGACAATATCTCACGAGATGCCTCAATACCCATTAAAAATGCCTCTATCGCTATAGTCGATGATCAAACATTGTATTCTATTTAAGATTTCCAGCTACGTGTTTTTTGTTAACTTTTGTATTTTTTTAATAAACTTTACTACTTTCACTATATTTACTATTTACTGTAATACATTGATAAGAACTTACTGTATGGTTAACATCAGTCTTTCTTCCACGCTTATCGGTTGTTTAAAGTTGGTGACCTGGTGGGTGCATTCATCGCGTATTTCACTGCAGGTGTAATCGAACGTTGATTTGGACATTGCAGCATACTCGAAAAACAGTTCTTCGTCATCACACAGTTGGGGATAAAGATGATGAAATTCTCCATGCATGCAACGATCTTTCCATATAACCTTAGCAGATTGCCGTTTTCTGGGTGGGTTGGGAAACATCAATGATTGGAAATAAACATTCCGGGAAAACAAAAACGTGGCTTCATTTTCGCTGTCCATCTCGCAAATGAATGTAGAAGTTTTGTCGTACGAACGTCTAGTCCTCTCCTTGATACGTTCTTTTCGCAGGTAAATAAGGACACCCAAAATGCTCGCGCGAAAGTCGGTTTCTTCGCGCGAATATTTCGTACGAATCTCTTCGCACGGATGCTGCCAGTTAGGACGAGGCATTACGTGACTCAGTGGACCACAGGATGGAGCAACATCGTAAACATTCAATGCCACGATTCGCACTGTGATTAAAAATTAGCGCGCACTTTTAGTAAACCAAAAATTGCACTCTAGCAAAACCCGAATCAAAATTTGTTTTTAGTTTAACTCAAAATTAATCAATTTACCAAGTCAAAAAGTCTAGGTGTTTTGCCTTAAACTGATACACTTCTGTTTTTTATTTGCTCTTCATCATCAAAACGCTGCGTGTTATAACAATCTTCGCCTCTTGGAAGGATCTATCGGAATGTGACAAAATAATGAATATTGCATTTTAAAATTCAAAATTAAATCACAATCTGTCTATTTTTTAATCTGATTAACACATTTTTTATTGCATATTCAAATAGACCCTTCCAAAATAAAAATATTGATATGGTTTGTAACGTTTTGATGATTATTTGTCGAGTTATGATCGACTCACTATACCGAGGCTCTTATATTAGACAGCTTGCCAGTTTTGAAGGATAGTGATTTTATATTCCAGGATTATAGAAAGCTTCAAAATGGGGCACCGCATGACCGCTCATTCCATTTAAAAACACGTTTCAGGATGGTGTCTAGCCACTGTTACTTCTATGTTTTTTTACACCGAAGCAGCGGCGCAGGCAGAAGCCTAAATTCCAGGGTACCGCGGCTGCTACGAAGAGCATTGTTAATCCGATTTTTGAACTGACTAAGGTTAGTAGAACTGGGAAAAGCCTCCTCTTGTAGATTGTTTCACAATCTCGATACGCTAGGGACAAAAGAGCGGTCGTATCAGCCAGTTATGGATGTGGTCCCGATACTGTCCGTTAGAGAAAAAACATCGATCAGTCGGACAGCCATCCTCTGAACAGCATCGAGCATAGATAATGTAGTCGGGGCGGCAGCACTCCAAGCATGTGAGCAATACTCCAGGCTAGGTCCTATCTGGGCCCTGTACAGAAGTTTCCGCTATTGATGAGATGTATTCGTGGCAGATCAAGTCCTCGGTGGTCTGGACGAGCCGAAATTAACTGCTCTTTGGCAGAACTCAGCCATCCATCGAAACCGGATGAGCACCAAGACGCTTTTTGTTTGTCAAGGTGTTTTGCAGGATTACACGGTACGACTTTTATCGCCTCTAATTTCATCTTTCTAACCTGACCCGTTCAGAAAACGAGTAAGATGAGGGAACCTTCCTTAAAAGTGCTGTATATTCCAGAGTGAAGTACCACTCAGCAGCTCCTTCACCATGAGAACGACTCTCGGAAATAATGCAGGAATCTCGGATGTAGCCACTTAGTCGATACGAACAAGCAGCCCATCAACAGCTCTTTAAGGAATCGCGTGCCGCCGCAGAGTGAGGGCTGAAGAGGAGAGGGGGCGTGTGAAACTGTAAAATCAGTGCCAGATGTGCGCCGGAAAGGGAGCGTCCGCCCTTAAGCGGTCCCTTATTTATAACTTTTGTTTACAAACATACCGCGCAAACCATCTTGACTATCGATGCAACGTTTTGCTAGATGCGGAGTGGCTCAAAATATGTGAGAATCTTTCAAGTCTTGAAATCCGAATCAGAAGTAAAAGTTTTAAAATAGTCGGTATGAAAGAGTAAAACAAATAATATAAAATAAAGAACACATATACAATAAATTAAACTCCAAATCGCATAATATGAGATTTACACAAGCATGAATAAGTTATGTAAAAGCTTACATATACACTAAGCCCTAGATGCATCACTTGGCCCCAAAAGCAATAATTGTTAAGCAGATATTGTATCCATAAAATACTCATTCGTAGAGTAGTAAGCCTTTCGTTTTAGCAGAGTCTTCACCCTGTTCTTAAATGATGCCAATGACAAGATGTCCGGAGTGTCCGGCGATCTATTTAACAATTTTATACAGGGTGTAATATGGTAGTCATTATTAAAATGGGTAATAGGGGGGATCAAAGCAAGTCAAAAAGTTCATATGACCCATGGTCCAAAAGTCAATAGATTTTTGTCTAAATTGCTTACAATAGTTTACAATTTTAAGTGCTTTATATCGACCCCAGCACCACAATCTTACTTTTTTTATAATCTAATCTAAAACGTTTTAAAATTGGGTAATTAACAAATAAATGGCATTAAGTTTTTCTAAGTTAAACCAAAATTTGTAGTCAGTAAGTAAGTTTCATTAAATTAAATATTCAAAACACACATGACAACAGCGCGTCGATCTTTCATCACTCTTATCGAACCGGCAATCGATCGTAAACGGTATCAGTGGTTAGTTATTGTTCGCGTACGTCGTCGTGTTTATTAACAATGTTCTCGAATCAAGAGTTCGCCGACATGTTGCTAGTTTACGGTGGAGCTCGTCAGAATTCAAATCTTGCAGCTCAAATTTATCGCCACAGATTTCGCCAACGGGTACACCCGGGCAAAAGGACATTTGTGCAGGTGTACCAAAGACTTCGAGATACAGGAAGTGTTCAGCCCACTAATATTCGCACTCGTGAAAGACAGGTTACTGCAGAGCAGGAGGAACGAATTTTAAATATCGTGGAAATCAATGCAGATATCAGCACTAGGGAATTAGGCCGTCGCGTAGGACTATCGCATACCATAGTCCATAGAATCCTACGGGAAAATTTGCTATATTCCTACCATGTACAACGAGTGCAGAAGACTATCCTCGCAGACTAATACTCTGTCAGTGGTTTTTGCACAAAAACATTGAAAATCGCGAGACGGGATATTACATTTCCGTAATACTCACACGTGGGCCCAAGAAAATCCTCATACCATTCGTGAAGGTCGTAATCAAGCTTGTGTGGAAAGTGGAGGACGATATTTTGAACACCTTCTTTGAATACAAAAAACGTGCAGTGTGGGTTTTAAAAACAAAAACAATGTATGTATCAAAGTTGTGTTCCCTATTTATAAGTGGATTTTTTTAATACGTTCAATAAACTTTCACACACCTGGTGAAGCGCTGAGACAGTTAGTGGTAAGTACCGTTTTTTAAATTGTTTGCATTTTGCGAGTACATTATCAAATAATGAAATAATACCTAAGAGAAAAAAATAACAAACTCCATCTTTATTTACACTGCGTTCCGTGGTAATTTGCGTCTGACATTGCGGCGTTGTCAGATTTTATTTTACTCTTAAGTCGCTTTTCTTTAAAAAAATGCCGTTTTGACCCCCATGTTATATGAAACTTTTTGCTCCTTTTAACCCCCTCTATCACCCATAATGACTATCATAACGTTTACACCCTGTAGACAAGCGAGTTTCTGGTTGAATATCTAGTGTGATCATTCAACTTTGTAAAATATGCCTTGTTTTGTCAGTGTTAATATTCCCAGCTGTCTAAAATACAGCTTGTTCTTATACTTAAACCCACAATTAAGCTGACCACTATTTTTTTCATGGTTTTTGAATATGATGTAGATGAAAGTTTATTGCAAATTTGGTTCATGTGTGGCATTGATCAATTTGCATGCCTAAAAATTTTGTTGTGTCGACATGTTCTATCGATCCATCCAATGATCTGGTCAAGCGTTATTACCCGTTGAAGAATGAAACAAAGGTCAATAAGCTTTATTTAAATAAATTCTTAGCGTCGTATCGTCAGTCGTTGCTACAATTATTGTAGGATGCCTTTATGGCCTCCTTGATTTTCATAGTTTTATCCTGTTCTGTGGCAGCGCTCTACTTTGAGGTTATGTTATAGATATCGGTTTTGAATCAAATTGTTCATGCTTTTGACTTATACCATCTGTTATATCAGTCTGAAATTTCCTACAATTCAAAAAGAAAGCAGCCTCACAATAGAAATCTAGAAATTCCCCAGCATTTCTGAAGGAGAAAAAATATTATGAACGCCAAGGAAGCCATAAAGGCGTCCTACAATCGTTGGAGCGACTGGCAATACGGCGCTAAGAATTTACTTAGATAAAGCTTATTGTACTATTTTTAGAGGCGTCAAAATAATACATTCATCAACTGGTAATAACGTTTGACCAGATCGTTGAATCGATCAATAGAACATGTCCACACAACAAAATTTTAGGCATACAAATTGATCAATGCCTTAAATGGAAGCCACACATGAACCAAATTTGCAAAAAACTTGCGTCTACATCATATTTTCTTAGCCAGCTGCGATTTTTGGTTAAAAAACCGAATTTCCCTAAAACCGTCTTTATTTTCTTAGTGAGTTTTGAGGTGGAATTTCAATCAATTTTGGTCGAATTTGAAACCCCCGCTTTACGGTTCCACGGAAATTATTCATTAGGCGGTTACGAAACTTTGAGGCTTCGGTAAAATTGGTGGGATCAACTAGATGGTAAGTAGCAAAGTAAATAACAACTCGCTCATTTTAAATGGGACACCTATATTTATCCAATTTTTGGATTCCTCGTCAGTTCTTAAATGTGATATGGATTTCCTCATATATCTAAGACACAAATTTTGCGTGAAAGATGACAAATTCATGTTGATAAATAATGATTTTTTCCTGCATTTGTAACATAAGACTTGTAACGGTTTCCTTAGAGGCAGGCATCTACTACACTGGACTTTATTCCACGCGGTCCAAAAAGAGAATAGAATCCTAAATACCCAAAAAAACTTTTTTTCAAATGGGACGCACTAATTTTTATAACTTAATCCCATCAAATCGCATTAAAACGGTGTCCAATGTCCCTTTTTTCAACAGCCCTGATCTACTTGATGAAATATTCTGAAAACCATCATAAATGGAGTGATACAAATTAAAGGTTATGCGAAATCCAGAAGCATATATGTGTGGAAATAAAAACAGTTAAGACGTCATCTACAAAAGCATCGCCGACCGCTAAAGTGGTACGTA